ATGTCGGCCTCAGCTCTCTTTTCCCGTGGACCCCAGCCCATGCAATTGTACCAGTCATGTTTAATGTGGGTCTTCCCCAGCCAGGCATTGCTGGAAGCATCCTCCTAGATATTCCCAAAGGTGTTTCCCATGGTGATTCTAAATTCAGTCAGGTTGACAATGAAGATTAGCCGTCACACCTAACACCTGCTTCTGGCCAGGTGTTGGTGGCACACGCCTTTAATCCCAGAACTTGGGAGGCAGAGGCAGGCGGATCTCTGTGAGTTCGAGGCCAGCCTGGTCTACAGAGCGAGTGCCAGGATAGGCTCCAAAGCTACATAGAGAAACCCTGTCTGGAAAAACAAACAAACCAACAAACAAACAAAAAAAGGTGAGCGGTACAGCACTTTGACATTGTGAAATGTCCCATTATGTTTCTTCCCTCCCATTCGCTGGCATACAAACGCTACTCATTCTTCACAATGATCTGTCTTTTGGTATGCTAATAAGTTCATTGATGACTGGCAGCACTTAGGTAGTTTCAGATGCAGACTGATTGGTGGAAAGACGGAAGAATAATTAAGAGAATTATGACTTTCAGTCCTACATCTGTAAGCCTCTAGTGTATTCCCAAGGAGGCTGGGAGTTGCTAAGAAGATCAACAGAGAGAATTTCCTTCAGACATTCTGAGTACTGCATATTTCCCTCCCTGCCCACAGGGATGAAAATGATTCCTTCCAAGCAAGGCAGCAACCTCAGGGAACCACTCCAGTTCAAAGGCAGCTTATACAGTGCACTGGCAATGGGCAGGCTAAAGAGTGCTGTGACAGCAGAAAGGGGCTCTTGCCAATGTCAGGAGAAAATATGGACATTTTCTGATGGCTTCCATTATGTGCCCCATGAGAGGAAACTAGACTCTGCCAGACAGGACAGTACTAGCCTGTCATCCCAGCTACTCTGCAGGCTGAGTGTAAGCATTTTGATGGATTGGATGGGACAGGTATTCTGGCACTCGGGAGGCACAGAATACTAAGTGTTACACAGCTCAGATGGAAAGGTATCCTGGAGCTTGGGAGCCAAGAACTACCACAGGCCAAAGTAAACATAGCAGCTTACAGCCCTGCCTCAGGGAAAGGCTTCCCCAGTGTATCAGCTCTGCTCCAGCAGGAGAGGGTCTTCCAGGTGGGGTTGTTAGTTCAGTGTAGCAGTTTTGCTCCTGTAGGAAGTTACTACAGTTTAACTCTGCTCCCAGGAGAGTGGAGATCTCTGCTCTGCCCAGGGTTGTCTCTGCTCTGCAGCAAAAGGTCTTCATCCAAAGCTCATCAAAGGGATTTATTGGGAGGGAAGAATCCAGGAGGCAGAGGACAGCCAGGTAGCACGAACAGCCACAAGCTGAACAGACACAGGGTTTATATAGGGCTTCTTAGGAGGCAGAGTTTTCCAAGGTAGGGAGTGGTCAAATTTCAATCACCTGCTCAGGGATTGGTTAGTTTTCTGCACAGGGTGTGTCTCTTTCTCTGGTCCTTTTTAGTCTTTTGGCTCTAGTTTTAGGACCAGGGTATATTTCTTTCACTGGCTCTGATTCCAGGGACATAGTATGTTTGGCACTGGTTTCAGGGTCAGGGTGCATTTCTTTCGTTCTGGTTGCAAATGTGTTTCTTTGACTCTGCTCACGGTGTGTTTCTTTGGCTGGACCTTTTTCCCTACACTGAGTCCACTAGATCCTCTTGATCCCAGGAGTTGAAGAGCAGTCTGGGTAAGAGTCTCAAAATAACAAATGAATATATAAATAAGGAAATTGGGCTTGAGTAGTTATACTAGGAGCCACCCTGCTACTTCAAGGGTAATATAATCTCAAAAGGAAATAGCAAGGAATCCAGGATTTGAGAAATGGTTGGTAAGCAATTAAATAGAGGGAGTATTGCCTGAGTCCTGGAAGGACATGGGAGATCTGCTATGAGATGGAGTGTAGCACACAGTCCATGTTATGGGTGCCAAGTGCTAATATTCTCAGTCATGGAAATGGCCATGTAAATTTTTTAACATATTTTCACTCACTTTTAATAACTTTATATTTGCATATGATGGATTTTGATCATATTTGCCCGTCATTCCTCCCTCTAACTCCTTCCAGATCTAGCATCTTCCCCCACACAGATCATGTCTTTTTCTTTTTTCTTAAATGGTCCACTGGTTCTAGTTTGTGCAACCTGTATACTCACAGATGTGGGGCTATCCACTGCACTCTAGTTAACCTATCAGGCTATACCAGTAAAGAAACCTGGCTGTCCTTGGAAGCCTCAGAAGCCATCAACTATCAGTGGTTCCTTATTAGGGATGGGGGCACATGACCCCCATCCTCTCTGCATACTGAAATATTGATTGATTTCATCTTGTACTGATCTTGTATAGGCAACCACAGGCTCTGAGTTTTGAGTTCATCAGTCCTGTTACGTCTGCAAGATACTGTTTGACTATTATACATCCTGTCCATTGACCCCTCCCCCACAGTTCAACAGTTCCTGGATTTGGCAGGAAGAAGTATGCTATAGATGCCCTATTTGTGGATGAGCATCCCACAGACACTTTCTGTACTTTGATCAGCAATAAGTTTCTTTATTAGCTGCCATCTGCTGCCATTCACTGCACAAAGAAACATGTCTGATCAAGTCTGAGGGCTGAACTAATCTATGGGTATAGATATACTAATTTAGCAAGCAATTGGCACTATGTCCATTTAGCAAAATAATAGTAATAAGTCTATGAGCTCCCTGACCTTGGATTCTTGGTCAGATTTACAGTACCAATCAGCATTTCCTCTTGTGGCATAAGCCTGAAATTAAGGGACCATTAATGTGTGGGGGTATGAATGATTTTAACAAGGGTGGGATAGTAAAACCCAGGTGATATGAAGGGAGGAAGGAGAAGGAGTTTTAAGTAGGGCCTAGGAAGAGGTGGGGAAAGCAACAACACTAAGTATGTTTGAAAAAGCCATACAGAAACCTACTACTTTATAAGCTTCAGACACACACACACACACACACACACACACACACACACACACACACACACAGAGTTTAATTGGAGTTGCCCTACTCAGGGTATAATGTTCCTTCCAGAAGCCATAGGTTTCCAAATAAAAAGTCCAGTGCTAAGTGTGGAGCACCTCTCCTTGAGTTGTTGGTCAGGGATATCCTACAGACTCCAAATGAATACAACCTATTTCCATTGTCATTGTTGCCCAGAAGAGCTGGATAGTTAGATGCTAAAGCTAAAGACACCACACCTTGGTGACAGGACACAGAAGTCAAACTGGTACTGACCAAGAAGCTTCCTTCCTATTGGGTAACTTTCATATTTCTTGAAGGTGCTATAGAGGCTGCTTGAGGGAAAGACAGCATGAGCCAACTGTGAACCCTGTGAGATACAGCCAGTGTGGCAAGATGTGGCCATGGGTGGCATACTAGTGGCATGAATGTTACTGGGGCTAGCTACATAAAATTTTCATCTTCTATTCCTACATGTGTCTGAATATAGAAAGTAGCAAAATAAGCCTAGTGATATAAAAGACAATGACAGATAGACTGGCCAACAGAAAGATTATATCAGCCAACCCATATCTGTGAACTGATAGAATCCGAGGAGAAGAGGTTGAGGATCTTTATCAGTCCTGACTCCAGATGAAAAGGAAAATGAACCACTTCCATGAGAATTGTAACTACAAATATACCTTCATCAGACTTGAGCACATATTTAGACTAAGTGTTCACCAGAGATAGTACTACAGCTAAAAATTCAATTTGAAACAGTCCTAGTCTCACATGCTAAGTGGAAACAAACAAATATCCCCTCTGGAAGAATTCACTTTAAATGTAAACATCCAAGAAACTCAGAAGGAAACATTCTAACAAATAAACCACACAGGAAAAGAAGAATCCCCCCCCCCCCCCGACAAGAACAGACAAGAACCAGTAGAAACAACTACCTATAAAACCAGCCCAGAAAGCCTCCCCATGCTAGGCCTGCTAGATAAAACGACACACAGTATGTATGCTTGTGTCTTAGTCCATGTGCTGTTGCTGTAAAGAGACACCATCATGGCAACTCTTACAAAGGAAAGCATTTTAATTGGGGCTTGCTTACAGTTTCAGAGGTTTAGTCCATTATCAGCATGGTGGGAACATGACAGCATCCGCAGACATGGTACTGGAGAAGGAGCTGAGCGTTCTACATCCAGGTCTGCATGTAGAAGGAAAAGAGACAAGCCTCTGGGCCTGACTTGGGCTTCCAAAAACCTCAAAGCCTACACTCAGTGACACCTCCTCTAATAAGGCCATACCTCCCAATTCTTCCAAATAATGCCACTCACTGGTGACCAACCATTCAAATCTATGAGCCTATTCTTAGTCAAACCATCACAGCTTGAGTGTTATTTTTTTAAAGAAAAGGCTTTAATGGTGTGGTGAAAGAACAAGAAAATATCAACTTAGTTGTTTACCAATAGATGGATTAAGAAATATGAATATATAATTTTATTCAGCCATAAAAAGAGCAAAGTTATTATCATTTTTAGGAAAATGGATGGAACTAAAGATCTTCATGTTGTTTGAAATAAACTAGGCTGAGAAAAAAGTGCATGCTTTTCTCTTACAGCTAAAATGTAGATTTTAAAAATGACATAAAAATAGTACTATTTGGGGTGGGGAAAGGTACCAATGGAGAACAGGGAGAGGGACAGAGAGAACAATGGGGGATGACTATGATGGAAGTTCATGGTATTCGTAGATGAAAACTGTCATGCTAAAAAGTATGATCTTGTACAATGAATGCAAGCTAATAAAGTAGTTAAAATAAAAAATATATAAAGGGACTAAATGATGCTGAAGAGAAAATGAGTGAATTGAAATAACTAAACAAATATCCATTATAGTTCATATCATCATTTTCTGTCCCAAACCTTTCAACGTTGGGAGTTCTTTTATAATAACATAAGTATACTTAAGTAATAAAAGTATACTTACCTTCCAAAACAGAGCAAATCAGTCTTATTGCATCTAGTGCCAAGTCCAAATTCTCAAAAGGATATTGGTCCTCCTTTAATTTTGTCATGGTCTTGACTTCATATTCTGCACTACATACCACCAATCCACCTAATATATGTAATATATGAGTAGGAGAAATGAAAAAAAAAGAGAAAAGTCAAAGTTAGCTCATTTATAAGTAATATAAAAATAGACACGGATACTAAACTTATTGTTTGTTTGAAATAGGGTTTCTCTGTGTAGTCCTAGCTGTCATTGAACTTGCTATGTAAACCAGACTGGCCTTGAACTCTCAGGGATCTTCCTCTGTATCCCGAGTGCTGGGATTAAAGGCATGCTCCTCACCCTTATGTACTGTATGCCTTTAACCAGCACCACATTTTGTACTGGCAGAAAATGTTTTTGTTTCTTTGTTTCTTTGAAGTCTGAGCTATTGACATGTCCTACTCATGCATGCCTTGTTTATAAATGAAAACTGAGTGACTCCCAATTCCGTCACTCTGATTCTCAAACTCATATATTCTGGCAGTGGGATTAAGAAATTCCTTGTTGCTGGGCGTTGGTGGCACACGCCTTTAATCCCAGCACTTGAGAAGCAGAGGCAGGCAGATATATGTGAGTTCGAAGTCAGCCTGGTCTACAGAGCGAGTTCCAGGACAGCCTCCAAAACAATACAGAGAAACCCTATCTCGAAAAAAAATAAAATAAAATAAAAAATAAAAAATAAATAATAAATAAATAAAATTCCTTGTCTTGGCACTGGCTCAAAGTACTGCCTCATTGTAAGAACTCTGTGGCTTCCTTGGTAACCTTTCATTCTGGCTTTATAGTTCTCATTACCATGTAATTTATTATCAAAACCAGAGTCTCGAAGAGTAAATGAAGCTTTATTAATATTTATACAAGAACAATGGGCGAATGTCAAAAATGCCCTAGGTCACCAGCAACAGGAGATTACCCTATTAATACAAAAGATGCCTTGAATGGATATCCACTACTCTGGGAGCCCAATGAGTTATATGAATATCAGCCCTCTTGCCTTCTACTTCTTTGGTCAGAAGCAATCTTATTGGGACATGATAAAAATAATGACATTCAGGGCACCTCTATCTAGTGCTCCAAACAGAAGCTACACACAAAAAGGGAGCAAATTCAAGCCCAAGCATGTCACAGGAAGAAAGAATCATTGTCCTCTGTGTGATAAAATCAGCCACCAGCAGACAGCTGTCCACTGCCTCTGGATTGATGCACCTGTGTAGTGATTCAGACTGCCTGCTGCTGGAAAATTCAGCGCTTGATAGTGTCAGCATCCAGATCAGCCTAGTGGCTAGTGAAGCCACACCAGGCACCACAGCCATGCTATTCATGATCCCACTGAAGAAACACTTGGGTGGCTGGGAAAAGATTCTAGCTAGCTACAGGGCAGTCGCATGACAAAGGAAAAGTCCCTCTCTGGTGATAAGCAGTCACATGAGACCCAAACATTTGAACACTCACGAATTTCACTGAGGAGCCTCTTTATGCATGCTTCCCTAAATTTCTTCTCATCTGTTTTTATTTCTTCCATATCCTCACTATGTATCTAACATTCGATTCCTGTCACAGTCATGGCACAGAGCAGCCCATTGTCCTCTAGGAAAAGAGAAGAAACATGTGCATGAAGCTTTGTACTCTGGAAGGCCTGTTCTTCTCCACTGTCCCTAAGCAGAGCCACAACAGTCCACACCTGAATTCACAGCAGTCTGCAAATCTCTTTCCCATGAAGAACTCTCAGTGTCTAAGCAAATGGGAGCTATCAATTGTTAAGTGCATGGGAGGCCAGGACAGAATCGTGTCTGCTACAGATCATATCTGGCTTAGACATTAGAGATAACATACCTAAAGGCAGCCAAGGTTTCATGGTTACCCATTGCTATGGGGTCAGGTCAGGAAAGCCAAATCTCAGCACTTTTTGAATCACCTGCAACATGTGGAAAAATGCTCTGGGTTCCAGTCTAACAGGTGTGTGTGTGTGTGTGTGTGTGTGTGTGTGTGTGTGTGTGTGTGTGTGTGTGTGGTTTTTCCATTGGCTAGCAGCTACAACTGAATCTTCTGATTATTATTTATTTATGTTTTTGGTTTTTCGAGACAGGGTTTCTCTGTATTGTTTTGGAGGCTGTCCTGGAACTAGCTCTTGTAGACCAGGCTGGTTTCAAACTCACAGATATCTGCCTGCCTCTGCCTCCCGAGTACTGGGACTAAAGGTGTGCACCACTATCGCCTGGCCATTTATATAGCTTTTTTTTCTATAAAATTCTTAATCCACCTGGAATTAGTTTTTGTACAAGCTTCAAGGTAGAGATTCAGTTCGTTTTTTCAACATGAATAATTAATTTTCATACCCATTTACTGGGCAATGCATACAGTATCTGCTTGCTCACAGTTCAGTTTTCCATACATGCCTGACCTCCTGGGGTAGCTATTCGGTTTAACTGATCTATTTGCCTGCTATGTTTCCTTTATTACCATGCTTTTGTTTATTTATTTAACTGTTTATTTTCAAGGTTTTAGGTATCTTTATGGCATTTTCTTTTTTATATTATGTGTATGGGTGTTTTATGTACATGTATGTCTGTGCACTAGACCTGTGCAGTATCTGAGGAGGTCAGAAGAGAGCATTGGATCCCCTGAGACTAGAGTTACAAACAGTTGTGAGCCACCTTGTAGGTGCTGAGAATTGAACCTTGGTCTTCTTCCTAGATTTTTAGGCTAGCACACACACACACACACACACACACACACACACACACACACACACACACCACCACCACCACCACCACCACCACCACCACCACCACCACCACCACCACCCCTGGCTCATCTTCTGATATTTAACAGCCATCTGTGGCCCTGCTGCCCTTCAGTCAGCACTTTGCTGCTCAGGCTGAGACTTGGCAAGATCCCCAATTCCTACCAGTACCGGCTCAATCTCTGCTGCCAAATGTAGTTTTTGCCAATAAAGACTCAGGAGTCAGATGTTGGGGTGAAAACTTGATAGCTCAGAGGGGCCAAGAAGCAACCAGCTGCCCTTCCTTTTGGCCAGAGACCCAGCAACAGAACTTTTCTCCATTCGCCCCAAACTAAAAAGCCCATGAATCTCTAAGTCCCTCCCTACTCCTTCCTGTGTATGTCTCTGTCTTCCTGGTCCTCCACACTCTCTATGGTTAATTCTTGTCAACTAGTTGCTGGAGATTTGTTATCCTGTTGTACCTGTCTTCCTTTTCTCATTGATAAAAACAACTAGAGGAAGGAGGAGGGGTTTACCATGGCTCATAGTTCAGGGTATGGTCTATTATGGTGGTGAAGGCAGGACCCTCGTGAGGAAGCGGGGGGGACAAATGCCGGAGCTAAGCTCACTCTCTTTTCATCTGCCTGGGGACCCCAGCACACAGAATTGTGCTGCCATTTTTAGGGAAGGTCTTCCCTACCACGGCTTAATCAGGAAAAGTTCCTCACAGACACATCCAGAGACTTGTCTCTGGTGATTCTAGATTCTGTCAATTGACAATATCAATCATGCATGGCACAATGTGAAGACTGTTTAAAGAGGTCTGTTGAGGGGAATTTATTAGATATGAGTTTCTCATCTACCTGCAGGCAGGGCCCAGAAGAAACTGTTCATGACAGCACTGAAAATTGTATCCACATCAGAAACCTGCCCTGTCACTTTCTGATGGGTCTTTGTGATTTTGAGACAGCTTGAGGACAGAGTGAGTCCCGGACAGTCAGGGCTACACAGAGAAACCCTGTCTCAGGGGGAAAACATTAAGTACTTATCTACTTCTTTGTATTGTGAAGTTGCGTCTCTTTTGAGACAAGGTCTCATACGCAGTTAAGGTTTGCCTAGAATTTGTAATCTCTTGCTTCAGTCTTCCAAATTGATTATATACATGTCCTAACACCATCTGTCACTACACAGTGACCCTTTCTTCCTCTTATTTATTTGTTTGCTTGTTTGTTTTGAGACAGACTGTCCTCAAACTTGCAGAAATCTGTCTACCTCTGCTCCCCAGCTCCAGTGCTGGGATTAAAGGCGCGCACCACTACCACCCAGCAGTGACACCTTCCAAGTTCTATTCGCACAAAGCAAAATTCAGAACTAAGCAAATTGCCAATTTGTTCCTAAGTCGTCAATAATGCCTATCTTTATAAGATTCTGAGAAGTACAGTAAGTGTCTGGGTAAAAAGCCCCAACTTTACATTCTGCATACCTGGCATGTAGTAAATGCTCATTAGCACCCATCTTCAGTGAACGTAGGGCTCAGTGGCTCAGTATGCAATAGTTAACTATGTAGTACTTCTGAATATGCTTATGATTGTTCATTATTATTAATGTCAATATGACCATTGCCTTGGAAACTACCACCCAAAGTGTGTAATGCTGTGAGGACAGCATGGTTATCTAGCCTAAAGATGCATCAGTGGAAAAACCATCATAACTGTTCTGTAAGTGCATCTATCTATTGTGTCCTTGTCAAAAAAATGACACATTAATAAAGTTACATGTGATCTGATTGTTACCATAGAGATGCAGAGGTTATTTTAAATACATCTGCTTAACCTTTAATATCACTTTTTCTAATTTGCAGTTTCTGTAACCTAACAGCTATTTTTGCGATTGAGACCTTCGGAGTGATTCCCCGGTAATGAGCAGTACCTGATAATGCTGCAGTTTTTATGTATTTGCTTGTTTTTGTTTTATTCTGTTTCCTGGCTTTACCCAGGCTGGCCTGGAACCCACGAATCTCCCATCTCAGTAGTACAATGCCTAGCAGAGAGAAGTTATGCTGATCAAGATCCAAGAAACAACCATTTGCTTAGCCCCAGAAGAAAAAAAAAATCACACTAAGATAACTGCAGGCCCAGAGAAACTGTAACACCACAACTAAGTGTTCTAGTCAGACATTAAAGTCTCAAATAGAAAGCAACACTTAAGTTTCTAGACTAAGAAATAAGCCCCTTTCATGGGAGGTACTGCCACAGAATCCTAGGTGAAGAAACCTGAAAGGCCCCATCAGAGAGTAGCTTCCAACCCACACACACACACACACACTTTCACAAATGTATTCACATATATGCCCACACACTCATACATATGCTCTCACACACATTCACATGCTCCCCAGTCATATAAGCAGGCCCTGAACCTGTAAGGATAGCACCCCTTACTCTGTAGCCCGAGGCGAGAGGATCACTTGAGCCCAGGAGCTCCAGGCCAGTCTGGGAGCACACTAAGGCCAGTTCTCCTTGTGAGTCTCCTTCCCTCTGAATTTACTGTCAGTGAGTAGTGATACCATCCTCATGGTGACTGTCCCCCAACTTGTCCGTTCTCTTTAGTCCTTCATATTCCTGAAGTTTTACGTCTTAACAATTGCCAAGACAAACCCAGTCTAACCTTTAACTATATCTTGAACCTAACCACGTCTCTCCATTTCTTTACCCACATCATCACTTACAAACACCTTAAAACTGGTCCACATGTCCTTTGCTGTTCATTCCTCACATTCAGTCAGGATCATCTTTTACAATTCCCATCTTGTCCACACTCATGAAATCCAGTCTTGCCTTCTGCCTAAACTCCATACTCTCTACTTATTGTAAGCTTTTTCTTATCTGACACTTGCCCACCTACTTTTTTCTGTTTTTTTCCCTCGGGGCTAGAAAGCAAAGCCAGACCTCACTCCTAGTAGTCAAAGGGCTGTAGCATTGAACCACATCCCCAGTCCCTTTGGACCTGTCCCTCCTCAGTTCTAGCCACAGTGTCTGACTCTGGAGTTCTAGTCACACAGAACTAGGCTCCACTCCAGAATGTGCTAGAAGGACCTCAAGGTTTCTTCATGTTTCCATGGCATCTTCTCCATGCACAGTCACCTCCTCCACTGCCAGGCATCACTAGCCGACTCCTACCCACACTGGGGTCCCTCGTCTGCACCACTCCACAGAGCTCCTTCATGCGCCCTCCTCTCCTGATGATCACACCGTTCTTCCTGATTAACCTCAAGCATTCAGCCACCTTGAGGACTGATGCTAGGTCTTATCACTCTGATCTATGTGACCAGCAGAGGAGCTAGCCTGTTCTAAGAGAGCTTGACTGAGTAAATGAACAGGCAGAGTGTGAATAATGACTTCTGATGGCTTCTTTGTTGTTGTTCTTATTCTAGCCCAAGTTTCTACCTGGTAGCTGCCTTGATTTTTGTCTTGATGCTCACATTCATCAGTATTCTAGTTCTAAGCTATTTCTGGTACATGAAGATTTATAGACAGTTTATTTTTGAGCCACTTCACAAGCCTCCTGCAAAACAGAAGACGCATTAGGAAAGCTGAGAGTTAATTCTGGAGATACATGTAAATAGATAATGTACATAAAGTAATTGTATTAAGAATGTGTTTGGCTAAGAAACATTAAATAAAAATTCATACTATTATTAAATTCAAGATCTGAAAATGTTCTTATATTACTGTTTGTTATTGTTTTTATTCATTTTAAAGATAGCATATACACTGTTAAATTGCATTTAAGAAATAAAAAATAAAAAGCTGGGTGGTGGTGGCAGTGGTACATGCCTTTAATCCCAGCAGAGGGAAGGCAGAGG